AGTTACTTAACTTTTCTCTCCTCACCCATAAAGCAGCAGTGATAATGATGCCTCACTTGCTGGAACACTGGCAATAAGCTACTACATAAGAGTTAGCAAAAGACTTGGCATAACATGGGGAACTCATTAAATGCAGGTGATCATTTTCTCTGCTACAGAGCGATAGCAGGTTTGCTGGTTCGTTTATGCAACTGGTACTTATTCAGCACTCGCCACACATGCACATTAGAGCCACCTCAGTGCCTGAGGCCCACTCCATACCAAAACACAAAGCACCACTGACTTAGGGTGGGACCAAGACTTTCAGAGACGATTAAAACTGCAAACAAAACTCTGGCGGCTACGCAAGGACCGGTGGCCACTTGCATGCATGTGGCTCCAGGGAAGCTTCGGCAGAAGAGCTACTTGCCCTGTGAGGTCTTTTATGTTCTTATCTAGTCCTTTTCTGCTTTACTGATCTTAGGAGGCACAGATCACATGTGTCTATGTATGGCCTCATGCCTGTCAGAAGAAAGGCAGAGCTGATGCAGCAGGCAAAGAGTGGTGCTTCTAGTATCGATCCTTCTGATTCCTGAATGTGGACCTGCGCAGGGTAGAGGGGGAAGGCATAATCATCATGTCTAGCACAAGCTCTCTAAACTCACGCTTCTGGATACAAGGGCGCAGAGCCTCAAAGCTGGATAGAATGGTCTGTACACCATTTTCCAAGGCAGGGAAGAGCTCGGGCAAAGCTTTTAAAGAAACGAAAAGAAGCATTCTGCCTTTAATATCTACTTTTTTTTTGTGACCAACATGAGATGAAAAGAATGAGCTCAGGCTAATGAACTGGAGGCAGGAGCCCTATGGAGACTCACCAAGTAGTCAGTACACACTACAGTATGGACCAGAGCTTGGAAGATGAGAGAGAGAGAGAGAGATGAGCGCATGTTTAGCTAGACCACTAATATGTCATCAAGAGTGACAGGAAGGGTGCTCACTGGTTGTAAGTTCTTACTCTCTTAAAGGATTATTAGCACAACAAATAAAACGATTATTGCAGGGAAACAAACAACAGCAAAGTATAATGGCATATATATGAATATATTGTCTCTGCTAACTTCAATTAGTTCTGCGATTGAGAAGCCAAAGAACAATAATTATGATATAAGATGGGTGCCAGGCACCGTGCAAGGCTTCTTGTGCCAGCTTTTATTGGGCTTTGGTAGTCGTCTCTGGAGATGCAGCAGTAAGCCTTGCCTCCTCTGGTGTGCGCATGTGAGCTGGGGTCCTCTTCGGTGCAGAACTGGTGCTGACCCTTTCTACTAATGAAACGAAATTTAATACTAAGAAATGAAAGAGACAACTCTCCATGGCGTCTAAGGCTAGATGTAAAACCGTGCTTCCCAGATGTCCACTTGATCTCATGCTTGGGGGAAGCTGGAATAGTGTCAAGTGACACCCAATCAGCTTTCTGGTGAGGCCCCTCTGGAGAGGAACCGATTGCCACCAGCAACATGAGTAAACACTTTTGAGAGCAGAACTTTCCACTCTCCAGCTGGAACCCCAGACACTGCAGAAGAGAGCTCAGCAGGTCTGTTTAGATTTCTGACCAGCAGAACCAATGAGATAGTAGGGCTTTGAAATCTCAGCAAAAGATGATTCGCGCTCATGAGCAACTGCCTCACACTGTGGTAGAGGAGAGATTGTGAGGCTTAAATATAAGCATATTACGGGACGCCATGGGGGGTTGAACACCGTTTTACAGGTTCTAAGAGTCCTGGCTCTCATTTGGTCAGAGTATGCTTGAAAGAGAATCATGAGTCTGCCTGTACCTTTCCTTATGAGAAAAGCAGTAACTTAACAGAAATATTTGAAGTACTCTGGTACTATGTTTATCCCAAATGGCGCTCATGGTTCAGTCTTGTTTCAGCCATCACTCTGTGAACATATTAGAAGTTCACAATTGGCGGGACTAGCATCTCTCTCAGTCTCTGTTGGTAGCACAGGGGTGGGGCAGGCAACTGTGGCATCTCAGCTCTACCAGGCTAAGTGAGCTTGGGCATGAGCCGAAGATTCCTCATTCTTGGAACGGAGCACACGCTAATACATATTTTTATTTACACAAAATCAGAAAAAATACTCAGAGTGCTAGTTCATTGCTTAGAACACGGCAAGCATTTATAGCAAGTAAGACCCAGCAGAATCTTCACAAAGTGTGTGCATTTTAAAGGACCCCCCAAAAAGCTCTTTTTCTAACCCTTCTCACATGAGGCTGAGAAAATCCACTGGAATACAGGGAGCTTTTTGCACACAGGCATGGCAGCCTGCAGTCAGCAAGGAGGCCATGATCAAAAAGGAGGCCACTGGCCAACAGGATGTCTTACCATGTAAAGGTACATGTTACCAGCCCTGACAGCCCAACCCAACTTGGATCCCGTAAAGGAAGTTTTGGTTTCTTTAAAAACTCAGTTATGTTATGTAAATGTGTTTGGTTTAATCCCAAGTGTGGGATTTTAGTTTGGGCTTTAGTTTGTTCACAGCTGATAAATGCCTCCTGCAGGGCGTGGTCTTTGCCAGCTAGTAACAGTCTGTCTCATGCAGCATAGAGAGGGATGTGGTCTAGGACTCTGAGGGATATACATAGGAGAGCCCAGAAAGAGAAGGTGTGAAAGTTTGGAGAGACCAGAGTGGGACAGTGTGGCAGCTTGGAGAACACAGACAAAGAGAAACATTTCAATGCAGCAGCTTGGAGTAAAATGCTTGCTGCATTTGCAAAAGGACCCATTGACCCTAAACAGCCAGGAGAAGTAAAGGGGTCTATGTCCCCTCTCCCCACTAACCTTCTCTGTCTTACCTAGGGTTAAAGGACTGGTGGGAGGGAGGTAGAGGCTTAAATACTCCAAATAAGAGTGCAATAAAAAATGCATCAGGGTCCCCAGAACCCACATGATAGAAGAAAACCACTCATGAGACATCCCATGAGTTGTCTTCTGACTTCCACATGGGTGTACACACACACACACACACACACACACACACACACACACACACACACACATCGAGAGAGACAGAGACACAGAGGCAGAGAGAGAGAGAGAGAGAGAGAGAGATGGAGAAAGAGACATAGAAAGAGAGAGAGAAAGAGATAGACAAGTCAGCCAGCATGCAGGCAGGCAGAAAGATAGACAGAATAAATGTTAAAAAAAGTATCAACAACAATAAAAGGCAAGAGGTTCATGGTGCTAAAGCAGTAGCCTTCCTCTCTCCTGGTGCCAATTCTGTCTCACTAGTCCAATGAAAGGAAGAGAAAAATGTGCTATCCTACTCTTATCCAGCGAGGCAGGTGAAGGCAGCAGTGACTCCTTCCTGTGAGATGAAATGTGAGACAAGGCAAGGAAGGTCTCTCTCACCTGGATTTATAAACAGTCATATGGAGGCACTTTCCTTTTCCATATTGTTTCTAAATTTCTTAAATCCATTCCAGTGTTGTGTGTGCAGGCAAAGCCCCTCAGTCCCTGCCAGTACTAACTCAGGTGTTCTCCCTTGTGGTCCACGCCTTCTCTACCTCAGAGCTAGCAAGCAAGCCATGCGTCTCGAGGTCCCCTCAGATGACCCCGCTTAAATGACTTCTTGATTCCCAATCCCTTTGAATTTCACACCAGAGCTCCTTTATCTTCTCTTTAAACATCACAGAGCTCTCATGAAAAATTCTGCTGGGATTCTAAATATTTCTACAACTTTCCGTCTCTAGATAAGTCTAAGAAAATGAGAGTTGGGAGACATATCAGCCACATTCCTAAGCACGACTCTCCGGCATTGTGACAGCTTGAGTCCTTGCAGGGATATAAATCAAGATCCAAATGTAGAGCCTTCCCTTAGCTAACCCCCAATAGAGCAGAGCAAGTTTGAAGACCACATTAATGACTAGAATGCAAAATGCCTGGTGAAGGGTGCCGCTGTTGTGGTGGTTTGAATGATAAATGGTGCATGTAGGCTTGTATGTTTGAATTCCAGGTCCCAGTTAGTGGTGCTGTTTGGGGAGGTTATGGAACCTTTAGGAGGTACAGCCTTGCTGGAGGGAGTATGTCACTGGTGGGGATCTTGGAAAGCTTCGTTTCAGCCCACTTCCAGTTCATCCTCTGCTTCCTATTTGAGGTTGATATAGGAACCTAGCTTCCTGCTCCTACAATCATGCTTGTCCTGCCATGCCCCTCTGCCACTGTGCGCTTTACCTCTGGAACTGTAAACCCAAACTTTCTTCCATACTGGGGTTTTATCACAGCAACACAGAAGTAACTGTGAGACCAAGGACTTGATGTCAGAAGAGAAAATGGGAAAAACATCCAGGGAAATTAGCCATGGGGGAAGCATCTGTGGTACTGAGTCCTGAACCACAGGGAAGGAAGACCAAGGAGCTCTCCAGCCAGCAGGACTGAAAGGCCAGGAGCCAGGAAAATATGTGAGAAGGATGTGAAATTCTGTGGATGTATGTCTTTTCATCAGTTGAAGACATGTGGAGAATTTGAGACAGGGTTTATAAAAAGTCGTGCAGTGGAAAACACCCTGGCAACACTTAGCAATAAAAATTTTCAAGAAAGAAAAGCAAAAAAAGGGCTTTTTACAGCTTACAGAGAAAACTGGTGACATATGAATTCATGATGAAGAATGAGTAATGTCTTCCAAGCCATGTTTCAGTAATCATGAAGCAAAAATTCTAAGACCAGGGAGGTATGTTTCCAAAGCAAGCAAGACCAAGTGGATCACGCTCAGTGAGTTCCCCTTACTGACATCCCTGCACACAACTGGCGTCCCTCAACTGATCAAACACTTCCTGACACACTTTAGGGCGTGTCAGGTAACCCTTGCCAGCAAAGTCAATTCAAGGATGTCCAAGTTCTAGTGTGTGTCGTGAATGACACTGGGCATGCACAGTTTAGCAGAGATGAACACCATTGCAAATAGGTCTCATACACCACAAACTGGACAGCACGGCCATAGCCAAGCCGCCTCAGGGAACTTACCATGTACCACATACTTGGCCACTTGGGGTCATTGAAGTAGGTGGACTGGGCGTGGCTGAGGTCATAATCCCTCTTCGTTCGTTTCTTCACCACTTGCTGCTGGATCCACTCCACCTTCCCGGAAGAGAGACATCTGGTAAGTGCTCCACCTCCGTCACAGTTCACATAGCATAAATGACAGTCCAAAGCATTTCCCGTTTTCTGTCAAGGCTGTGACAATTAAAATCCCCGAGTCCATGTGATTCTCTAGAAAGCCAGTTCTCCTTTACTTCAATACAAACAGACATTTTAGTCTTTTATAGAGCAATAATTCATCTTAATACCAGCCCAGGTTTTAAGCTTTTTACAAAGGCATGCCATTCATAATTTGTTCTAAGGGGACAGTGATAATTTTTAGGGTATATTTCTGTTCATAGTAAAAGTTGGCAATCTTTTTCTACAGAGGTTAAATACAAAATATTTCAGGCTTTGTGGATGCCTGCCTGATGTAGCTGTTCATTCTGCTCTGGCAGTATAGTAATGCATACTGGAATTAGTACAATGGAATTGAAGTAAACTGCTATAAACAAAACAGGCTGGATTTGACCCATGTGTCCCTCCCTGCACCTATGCAACATATTCTAATGTGTTTTGGAATCAGGGTTCTTTGTCGTTTGGTTTGGATTTGATTTCTTTGTTTGTCTTTCTGAGACAGCATGTCACTATGTAACTCAGGCTTGGCCTGAAACTTGTCAGGGGCAGCCTTGAACTTGCAGTAATCCTGCCTCTGCCTCCTATGTCGTAGGACTGCAGGTATATACCACAGCACCTGGCTAGAGTTAGACAGTTAAAAACAACAACAACAAAAACAACAAACAAACAAACAAAATAAATGCAGCATGTTGGAAGAGCACCACTAGGTAAATTTAAAAATGTACGCCGTACCCTTATCTCTACGACAGCCTAGAGAATCAGTTTCTTGAGCCATAGGCACTCTGCCAGCTCTAAACTTCAAAACTGCAACATTCCAGAAAACCCTTACCATTTAACCATGACCTCTGCTTCAACCTTGAGTTTAACACAGCATCTGTAATCTTGTGGCAAGGCTATTATATAAGGATATTTTATAAAACAGGTAATTATTATGGAAAAGAACAAGAAAGAAAGAAAGAAAGAAAGAAAGAAAGAAAGAAAGAAAGAAAGAAAGAAAGAAAGAAAGAAAGAAAGAAAGAAAGAACATCTCAAATGCAGGATTAGCCCTGATGTAAGTCTTCAAGTTGCGGAATGTTTCTTTGTCTGACAGCTGACTTTGTCACAATATTTTGAAATTTCCTATCTAGCCATTTATCTTTGTTTTCACAAAGTAAAAATTGAAGTAGGGACATCATGAAGCTTACTTCTGTAATCCCTTATCTGCCCACACAAACATTCAAAATCTCCCTTGCCTACTTGACTAAAGAATTGAAAAAGAGACACAGAGGTGCCTCTATTTATATGAAAAACTTCACTTCTTTATTCCAAACAAATAATCAATTTCTAAAAAAAAATCAATTCCACTATCTTATTCATTCAATAAATATTAAGTGGCAGACACTATTCTGGGAATATGAAGATGAGTGAGAATGATGTTGATTTTTGGAAGACATTTTCGTCAGAGAAATTTACCCATTATTTCATCGTTCTTAGAGTCATAAAAATATAATTATCTCTACACAAGATGTCCCAAAAAGGCACATTTATGACAAGTTTTATTATGCAACTTAGGTTTGCAAACTTAATCTAAAATCACTACTTACATATCTCATTCCAACAAGGTTAAGAGGGTTCTGATCTAGTTGCTAGACCAAAGAGCTTTAGATCTGCTTAAGTAAAATTTCTTCCCAGAATGGAACATTTATGAATTCCAAAGTGCCAGGGTGGATGTGCAAATATCAAAGAGTGTCTTACATCTGCTAATCACTTCGAAATTACTAGAAATCAGGGACGTCTTTACTGTGGTGGGACAGATGGTGTTGCCACTGTAACTACACACGTGTTTCCCGCTAGGTGTACACACGTAAGACAGGTAGATTTGTGTGAGAGAGAAAAACAAATGGCGGCCGTTTTCCTAGACGGACTGCGGCACTAAAGGAAAATGGAATACCTTAAAAAGCAGCATCTCTTCTGTAATTTATGAAATGAAAATGTCAGTTACATAGCAGGGTAGCTAGATGGTGACTGACACAGCAGCCTAGCATCTGTGTTTGACCGTACGTCGCTTTGCCTGATCACGGGACTGCTATAGTCAAAAAAAGGCCCACGAGGATATGTGTGTGCAGGCAGCATCAGATATCATGTAATTTGCCTTGGTGCTTTATGGGCATGAGCCTTCAGGGAACAGGAAAAGCACGCTTGAATTAGAACTTTTTTTAATGACTAAAAAGTCCATACTTAGCTTTTTAAACTGGTATCCATCCATCCATCCATCCATCCATCCATCCATCCATCCATCCATCTATCCATCCATCCATCCATCTCCATCTTTAAGTTCTTTCAGGAGAACTCAGATGTATTATATCATATAAATTTTATCTCATACCAAAAAGCATACTGCAAAGAGAACACTTATTTTCATTCAACTCTACCCAACCCAAAAGATAATGACATCCTCTCTCTGGAAGTGTTCCTTTTTTTTTTTAATTAATTACACTTTATTCACTTTGTATCCTCCCATAAGCCCCTCCCTCCTCCCCTCCCAAGCCCACCCTCCCTCCCCCTTCTTCATGCATGCCCCTCCCCAAGTCCACTGATAGGGGAGGTCCTCCTCTCCTTCCTTCTGATCTTAGTCTATCAGATCACATCAGGAGTGGCTGCATTGTCATCTTCTGTGGCCTGGTAAGGCTGTTCCCCCCTCAGGGGGAGGTGATCAAAGAGCAGGCTAATCAGATTATGTCAGAGGCAGTCCCTCTTCCCATTACTATGTAACCCACTTGGACACTGAACTGTCATGTGCTACATCTGTGCAGGGGTTCTAGGTTATCTCCATGAATAGTCCTTGGTTGAAGTATGAGTTTCTGGGAAGTTCCCTGTGTTCACATTTTCTGGTAATGTTGCTCTCCTTGTGCGGTTCCCGTCCTCTCCAGCTCTTACTATTTCCCACTTCTTACATAACATTCCATGCCACAGAGGGCCTCTGAAAGCCTCTGCCCTGCAGACTATCAAAGCAGATGCTGAGACTTACGGCCAACTGTTGGGCAGAGTGCATGAAATCTTATGTAGGAAGTGTTCCTTTTTAATCACATTGCAGAGTACAGTCAATTCAGAGCACCTCCCACACTCAGTTCTCATCTCCTGCCTCAGGCTTAGCGGACTCTGGGCTTTCTCTTCCTAGGATCCCCATCCTCGGCTTTTACTTGCCAAGCAAAACACATTAACTGAAGATTATGGGACTTCTATCCCACAATCTCAGCTAACTAATATCTCAATTTCAAATTTGCCAACTTATGGATTCTATTCATGGGGCAGTTTATTATCAGCAGAAATAAAACATTTTATAAAGCAAAAAATATACTATAAGCCATTTCTTAAATGTAAATAGGAAACAAATTATAACTTTTAAACTATATCCCGCGGTGAGAAGCATATAAATTCTTCTTTAGGTAAAAAAAATACAGTGGACCTAATGATTATAATGGGTACATTAATGAATAAAATAGAAAACAAAGAAACAGAGCTCAGATATATAAGACAGCACATACTAAAGGTACTATGCTAAATCACAGTGGAAAAGCAAACACGTATCAATGATTGTGCTTGAACAACAATGAACAAAGTAAAAGCTTCATCTAATATCAGGATCAACTAAAAATGAATTCACTGTTTAAATGTAAAAAAATAAAAAAAAACAGTTAAGCAGAGTAAGAAATATATGAGATTAAAATACATTTACAGTGAAAAAGATACTACAACTTTCCAAGTGATTTAGAAAAAAAATTATAATATTAACTATAAGAAAACAATATAAATTTGTCATAGCAAAAAGTATCAAGGTGAGGGAGGTGAAAGACAAAATGATAAAAGTTCATGGCTTCTACCATTAACCACAGAGGCCATCTCTCTAGTATACAAGAAGTACCTACCTTTACTAAGATAAAATTCCACAAGAAAATAGATAAAGGACAAAAGCCATACGATGCTTAGAAAGATAAAGCAAGTTTCTCAAATCAGAGCAATGCGTTGAACTTCACGTCTATTGCTTTGATTTGAACATGGTTGTGTTCCATGCTTGCATGTAACTAATACAGGGGCAGCAGTGACGGGAACCTTTACCAGGTGGGGCTAGTGAGACTGGGGGTCTGGTCTCAGAGGGGATGGTGGGATCCTAGTCTCTGCTTCCTGCTTGAGATGGTACTGCCTGCTCCTACAGGGGCTCCTGGGTCACCTTAAGCTGCCCTTACCAGAGGCCAACCTGGCTGCCAAATCTTGATTCTCAGAGACTTCTTTCTAAATAAGTCAGTTTTTTTTTTAATATGTAACCTATGTCAAAAAATTCATTGTGATGACAGAGTGACATATGAAGACAAAAGCAACCTAAGAATGAACTATCATCCTTCCAGACACAATGTAAAGGTTGGTAAGATTTTGTTGATATGGAGAAGAGTCATGCTCATATAATGCTTGGGTGAATGCAACTTTGTATAGCTCTGTGGATGGTAACTGGGCAGTATCTACAGAAATGCCAATGAGTAACTCTACTTTCTAGTTATGCACATAAATATGCAAAGCTATTCGCTGACATAGTAAATGAAAACTGTAACTGTAAGTAAAAAAAACAGTAAAGTCTATGCATACAAAAACATACTATATTGGAGTTTCTGAGTAGTTTTACTATATTTGCCGGCAGACACCTGGTAAGATTTATAGGTAAAATGGAGGGAGAGAGATAAACATGCCTTCTAGTCCAATTTTTCCTAGTTCTAAAACTCTAGCCACATATACCTAGTCTCTATTTTACAACAAATATCATTTGTTAAAAGCAATAGAAAACTGAGGTTGATGTCCGAGCTGGTAAATGATTTTTAGTCATTCCATGAAGATGCAAAATTGGCATTTAGAGGGATGGCCTGTAAACAGAGACCCACCTCTAGTGATCTGAT